TGAAGTAGCCTCTATGTTTCTACATGATAAATGATATTCATTCAGGTGGAAAGTTCCTTGGATTCAGTTGTTTGTCTCTTCTCCAAGTATTTTAGAAACTGCCTATCTTAGGGAACCTTTGGGAGTCTCAGGGAAAAGTTGCCCTATGTGTTCCATCTCTAGTTCTCAATTACCCTTATGTTACCAGGATTGCCAAATATCCCTTTGGATTACCAGGCAGAAGAGAAATCTAAATTGATACGTGTGAATTAGGTTGGGATGCTAGTGAGGAAGCCTGGGGTGGGGGTTGGGGAGTCACAATTTATGCAGTTTTAGAAGACCTGGATTTCTGGTCTTAATTGTTCTGCTTGTGAGTTTTATAATCCTAGGCAAGTCACCCACTTTATTCCACTGATTTTCAGTTTCTTTATCTATAAAGGAAAAATAAATATACCTACAATTTAGGGTTGTTCTAAGAATTAAAGGAAATAATACAGAATATATAAAAAATGAAATGCACAATCTTTCCTCATTACATCTTTAAATTCAGTAGCAAAGCAGCTTTTAATCCTAATGCCTTAATGGAAAGAAAGTAAAAGAGCTAACACATATTTAGAAAATGTAGAGTACTCTCATTCACCAGATGTTATCCCAATACAAAATAAGCTTTTAAATTTGACTTTTTTTGTACCTCTTATTTGCGCTCTAAACACCTCAGGAACCTAGGCAAGAATTGAAGAAGGGAGTTTTCTGATAGTGAATACAATGGTAATAAAACAAGTCACCATCTCCTGAGTGTTTATTATGTGCTAGTCACTATTCCCAAATACTTTACATATATATTTTCTTTCATGTTGTTATGGCTACGGAGGGACTGGTCGTGGATTCATTCTTTTTTCTTGCCTGTCCTTTCCTGACAAAAAGTCCCTCAGTCTTATATTTGATTGAAGATTAAAGAATTCATTTGGTCTTATTTCTGAAGACCCTTCATGACTATTTTTATTGCCTCTAGGACCATAACTTCGGCTCTCAACCTATAGTTAGGAAGGGCACTTCTAAGAAAGGTTCTTTTGTTGGCACTTGAATGAGGAGGTTAAGAGTGACCAAATTTCAGTTTTGAATTATTCTTTCAATTGATGATGCTTTCTTTTCAGTTGAGAACTGTAAAAAATGTGCATGTCTGTTCTTGCTGTATATACTTTCAAGTATGTGAACATAAGTATAAATATAATATTGGCACTGATTCATTCACCCAAGTAAAAATAGAATACCTTGTATCCTAGATACCATTCTAGTTGCAGGGGAATGTAACAGTGTATGTTAAGTGTTCCATCAAATCTGCATCAGGAAATGATTGTTTTAAAGGTTACCAAAACAATAACAAAAAACAAAAACTTCCCTCCTTGTTTCTCAGTTTCTCATCTTTAACAGGTGCATCCTTTTACTCCATTTACATATTTTCTTCTTTCACAAGTTCCTTTTTCTCTTTTTCCACAGATTTAAGAAGAATTTTTGAGAAGTCATTTTCTTTTCCGCATCCTCTCTTGTTGATTAATGTTGCTAGCAACGGTCTTAGACTTCTGAAAATGACGGAATTAATGTTTGCTACATTGCGAGAGGATTCTTAGTGCTCTCCATTACAATTTGTGGCAATGTTTACATTTGTTTACATGCTGTTTACTATTCCTGATTATATTCTGGGGGAAAAAAGGTGGCTCACCATCTCATAGGAATTTGCAAATACTGTCAGGTTATTTTCACAATATCAGCATGGAAGGCGCTATTCTTTTCTTGACAAAATATTAATGCATGTCACACTTGCATTTAAAGCTGTGTATCTATTTTGGGAAGTTGACTGACATTCAAGGACAGTTATGTGCTCCTGTTACTACCCTTAAAGTTTTTGCTTTTCTTCATCCTAAAGAAAAACAAAACGCTTTATAAATTCTGACTTAATAAGTTTCAGTAAGGTACCATGCCGATCAACAGCCCAAATACCTTGGCTCTAACAGTTTTTGTAGAATACCAGTCCATGATAGGTGGACATTAGTACTCTCTGATATTCTGATTTACCATAAAGCTAATAGTTACACGGCCAGGTAGCCAGTCAAGGGAGATGTAACATTTGCTCTGATTTCTGCAAATTGACAACCATAATCTCATTATTGCCAATAGAGTGACAATATGTTAAGGGTAGACATGTGAGGAACTGGTACATTTTCAGGGTTTGAAAATTTTAATATTGGGAAAGGCAAATGGGTGTGGGGGAAACCTCAAAATTGAGCAGATTATACTTCAAATCATTTCTAGTAATGAGGTTAGAACTTTAAATCTCTGGTAAATCATTTTCTGTTTGTCAAGGAGTAATTATAGTTCAGAATTTTTCAAAATCATACTCAAATTAACTAGTGGAGTCTATTTTAATTTATATTCCACACTGAGCAATCAACAATTAGTAGGATTTTCATAGAAACATGATGTGATGGTCTTAGATTTATTCACAACACAAAAAATCCATGAACATTATAATATCAGTTTTGGGGGTTACAAATGAGAAAAAATGCTATAATAATAAATAAAGACATACTACATTTCAAATCCTTTTTGCGTGGTAATTTCTGCTGCCTTGATGATTTGTGCTACAAATATTTGTTAAGTACCTTCATGAGCTAGGAACTGCAATACCATGATGGACAGAACACAGTTGCCACCAAGGTACATCCTGCCCAGCAAAGGAGGATGCTGGATAAGTAAACAACTGCCTGTGTGGACTTCCTCTGTGTTTTGTGTGCCTATTAGCATAATTCATGGAAATAATATAAGATACTTTCTCCCATCCAACACAAGCCCTGTTGGCTTATTAATCACTATGTACCATCCCTGCTGATCACAAACACATTTTCTCACTTACTATACAAAAACAGACCCATAGATCATTGGAACAGAATAGAGGGCCCAGAAAGAAATCCAACCTTACAGTCAATTTGGACAACTCGGGCTAGAATATACAATGATTTTAAAGACATTCTCTTCAATAAGTGGTATTGAGAAAACTGGACAGCTACATGCAAGAGAATGAAATTGGACCACTTTCTTAAACCACACACAAAAATAAACTGAAAATGGATCAAAGACCTAAATGTAAGACCTGAAACCATAAAACTCCAAAACCACAGTCAATAAACTCTTGGATATCAGCCTTAGCAATTTTTTTCTGCATACGTTTCCCCTGGTAAGGGAAACAGAGGCAAAAATAAGTGTGATTACATCAAACTAAAAAGCTTTTGAACAGTGAAGGAAACCATCAATAAAATGAAAAGGCAATCTATTGAATGGGAGAAGATATTTGCAAATGATATATCCAATAAGAGTTTAATATCCAAATTACATAAAGAACTCATACATCTCAACATCTTCCCCCCAAACCCCAAATAATCCAATTAAAAATGGGCAGAAGACATGAATAGACATTTTCCAAGGAACACATTCAGATGGCCAACAAACACATGCAAAGATGCTTAACATCACTAGTCATAAAGGAGATGCAAATCAAAGCCATTGAGATATCACCTCATACCTGTCAGAATGGCTATTATCAAAACAAGAAATAAGAAATATTGGTGATGATGTGGAGAAAAGGGAACCCTCATACACTTTTGGTGGGAATGTAAATTGTTGCAACCACTATGGAAAACAGTATGAAGATTCCTCACAAAATTAAAACTAGAACTATCATCCAGTTCAGCAATTTCACTTCCGGATGTTTATCTGAAGAAAAGGAAAACACTAATTCAAACTGCATGTATCCTTTTATTCATTTCAGCATTATTTATAATAGTCAAGATATGGGAGCAAACTGTGTCAATCAGTGGATGAATGAATAAAGAAGATGTGGCACATATATAAAAGGGTCTAATACTCAGCCTCTGAAAAGAATGAAATCTTGGCCTTTGCAACAACATGGATGGGCAAGAGGGTATTATGCTAACTGAAATAAGTCAAACAGAGAATGACAGTTATCATTTGATTTCACTTACTTGTGGAATCTGTAAAACAAAACAAATAAGCAAAGAAACTAACAAAAAGTGGGAACAAACTCATAAATACAGAGAACAAACCAGTGGTTGCCAGAGGGGAGGGGACTGGGGGCTAAGTGAAATAGGTGAAGGGGATGAAGGGGTATAAACTCCCAGTTATAAAATAAGTAAGTCACAGGTAAAAAGTTCAGCACAAGGAATATAGTCAATAATACTGTAATCACTTGGCATTTTGGCAGATGCTAACTACACTTACTGTGGTGAACTTTTTATAATGTATATAACTGTTTAATTACTATATACATACACCTGACACTAATGTAATATTATGTCAAATATACTTTAATAAAAAAAAATTTTTACTGCAAATTTCCCTGCCCTGAAACTATTCAGTGTAATACAGTTTATCTTGCTTCAGTCAAGAGAATGTTCCATCCTTATAACATGTACATTTGCAATGTGTTTAATGTATTTCTTCCCATTCCCATTGCATTCCTGGCTTGTCTTCATTACCTAGTCCTGCATTATGGTCTCCTACATAGTTTTTTCTGTCAGCTTCACTTAACTCCAACTCTTCCTGACACGTAAATCTTATTCTTATTTCAAGGAGTACCTAAAATTCTATTTCCACAAGAACATTTTCCTAGCCACTCCCAGTGACACTTCTCTGGACTGTGTGTTTTGGCACTTGGCCATGGAGTATCTCATTTTGTTGGAAAAGAGTTTTATGTGCATACTTTGCCCTCCTCAGGCAGCAGGAAGCTCCTGGACAGGAACTGTCTTACAAGCTCTGACCATAATGTCCTACAGCTGAGTTTTGTGAGTGTGTTGTGCAGTTACTCCTGAAATAGACCTGTCCAAGCACTAAGCATAGAACTGAACATCCAGTACATACTCAAATTCACATACTGAAAGGCTGCAATACCAAGTTGTTCTAATAGCAGTGTACATGAGTTCAGTGTAATACTCAAAGGAGTTACTTACTAAGGCAAATTTTTTGTTGAGAATCATCTGCTCCACCAAAGATGACTCATTATGGAAAAGGTGGGGCTGCATGTGGCTCCACATGTGAGGAAACCACCAGAACTCATCCACAGACCCCAAAAGATGGTCATCCCCTTCATCTTCCTCCTCAGTTCCTTCAGGGGGAAGAAAGAGTATTCAGTTAATTACAGTTACACTGACTACCTATCAATTATCTATTTATCTTCTACCTAATTATATATTCCTATATATGTATTTGGAAGACACTATAATACTATCTTAGATATACATAAGGCTTTGAACATGAAAAGTAGCAAAGGGAAATATGTTACTTGTAAACATGAGACACAGGCATAAAATCATTGCAACATGGAAATGCACGACTATTCCCAAGGGCATAAGAACTCTTAACTTTTAGCAGCTTTGTATAATTTGTAATTTGGAGAGAATGGGGGGTAAGTAGGAAACGTGGGAAAACAGTCCAGACTTCTCCTTGGCGTTACTCATGTTCCTTATCCTTGTCCCTTCTCTCAAGCTCTCCAGCAAAAAACTCCGGTTTTCTTGAAGGTCAGCCCTGTTGCTTTTCCTATGATTTTTTCATATTTGTGCTTGTTTTATTTTCTTCATTTTCCCTGACATGCAGTTTAGTTGAGGTGGGGGAAATTCCAAAATTTTCTTGGCTTGATGGGGGTAGAAGTCTCTCTGTTTCCTCATTAAAGCATGAAATGAGAGCAATGTAAGAGGCCTCACTACTGTTATGTCATATCACAGGATGATATTAATTACCACAAACTTATGCAGCCACACTTAAATTTCAGCCCCAATACTGAATCCAGTAAGATCCTACAGCAGGAGGTTCTTCAAATCTTGCATGGAGAAAAGATGCTCTCATATTTCCAACAGCAGCTCTAAAGTGACTGTTTTCCACAGGGCCAACAGGCTAAAGAGGGAGGATGGGCCCTGGCCCCGGCCCAGCACCTGTTACCACTGTCCTTACATTCGGTTTCCTGGGAGAAGGAAGGCAGAGTCCACTGGCAGGAAAAAAACATTAGATTGTGTGATTTAGTGGACAGTGAAGGTGATTCACCAAAGATAAAGATATAGTATGAGGCTGCATGCTTATTCTCATTTACACCGGAAGAACAGCATGAGTGATGCAGAGTGAGTACACCACCATAATTCTTCAAGGAGGACAGTCTTCAGTTTCACGTATAGATGCTTAAGTACTCTGCTGAGCTGAACTCTTATCTCCCTCTATAAACGCCACCTTTAGTCTGCTTTATTTCCCCTATCTTTTCCTTTCCGTCATACATTCATGTTATCATACTATAGTGGACAAATAGTCTTTGGAGTCAGAAGTTTTTTATTTATTTGTATGTTCTAACACATCTGAGGTGTGATTGTGGGCAAGTCACATAGCACCTTTAATGTCTGTACTTACACAGGTAAAAAGATGGATAGAAATACCTATTTTATTTCTTTTTGGGAAGAAGTGTCTATATAGTTCTGGCACATATTGGTGATCTAAAATACCCTTTTCCTTTCCTTCTGTGTTTCCTTCTCCTGTTCTCCTGTGTCTCTTGATTTCCTTGAGCTTGTTGCTCAATAGACTATGGCATGGGGCTCACGGTGAGGTCTCACCTGCGTGTTAGATGGCAGAGGCGACGTTGTGTTCAAAGGTGACCTCAGCCATTATACTAAAAGATTGGCCTGATTAATGCACCGCTGAGCATTCTTAGAGCTTCTGAGTGATTATCTTACAGTTCAGGGAAGCCTTCTAGAAAGGAATGCAAAGGAAGAGGAATATGGAGTCACGGATTTCAAATCTCTGGTGACCCCAGTCATTGTAGGATCTGGGGTTCTGCTACCTTTTAGGTAATAAATAAGGTGGCCCTGGTAAGGAAGCATTTGGTATGTGTAACTGGTGGTGCTTGAATACATGTTTTTTTGGACAAAACATGATCTAATTTGGTTTAAACATCTGTACTTACATACAAGATACTCTCCTCTTGTTCAACATTTTAAAAAACATTTATTTATTTTTTATTGATATACAATCTTTTATTAGTTTCAAATATACAACACAGTGGTTCAACAGTTACCCATATTATTAAATCCCCTCCCCAACTAGTGCAGTTACTATCTGTCAACATAGGAAGATGTTACAGGAACACTGACTGTGTTCTCCAGGCTGTCTTGTTCACCATTTTGTATGTTCTCAGGACATCATAATTAGTTACTTATGCAGTTTTACTTTCCCACAACAAAAAGAGGCAGAAATCTCGGAGTTTCCCACTGATGAGTTCATTCCTGACTTCCACTTCCCCTGGGCAAAGTGAGTGCGGGTAAAAGTGAGATGAGATTTCCTAGTTTATGAAAAGTCACCCCTCCTACTGCTTTTAATCATTTCTATTTCCTCTCCCCTATAACTCTTATATTTCCCTGTACCTTTTTTCTCATCTCTCTTTTACTCACTTTTCTAGTTGGCCTTTACCCAGAGTTTATTTATCAGGGCAGTACAACAGATCTCAGGGTTCTTTGGAAAGATGGCTCAGGCATTTGTTGTCCTTTCCTGACTATAATGGTGAAACCTACTATTTAAATACACATTTGAACAATGCAGGAGTTAGACAAATGATGTCCGCTCTCTGACAGATTTATGTAAATTCATAGGTGTAATGATATGCCTTTCCTTTCTGTAATTCTTTCTTGTCTGGTTTCTTTTAATCCTTCTTTATGGATATTTTACCTCAGTATTAATTATATTGAGAAGAAATGTCTATTGCTTATTACTTTAAGCATTATGGTAACAAGCAGTCCAAATATAGCTGTTTGTGGTTGAACAGTCCTGGACCCTTGCCATCCACTTTGCCTGACTTTGTCAGAATTGGAGGAAGAAAGAACTACAAATCAAATTCCTCAATTTTAAGTGTCATTTCCTAAATGTCACAAAACTATGCTGAAATCTTTGAGGTTATTGTAAATTATTATTTATTTTATTATGTATCTATTTAAATAACATGTCTTTTCAGTACTTTATCTGCAGTATTTCCTATATCCTGATATATTAAAAACCATTGCGATTGAGACTTTACTTTTTGTTAAGCATTATGTTAAGTGTTTCATCAGCATCATCTTGTTTAATTCTCAATATAGCCTTATAAGGAAGGGCCACTGCTATCTCCATTTTACAGATAAGGAATTTGATATTTGGAGAGGTGAACCAATTTGTCCCAAGTCACCGGGAAGGCTGGGACAGAACCTGAATTCTAACCTAGATTTAGTAACTCAAAATTCAAGGTCCATATATCATTTAATGATCAAATGTGGAATTTAGAAATAAGGTCAGCATTTATTAACCCAATATTATATTGCTCTTCACATTGTATTAATTTTGTGATATAATGAGAATTTACAAATTATATTGGTTCTCAGTGCTTTGGGGAAATATACAAACCTAAACAACCTAGAGAAAAGGGGAAGGAACCTTTTGCCATTCAGCTTCTTTAATAAGGATTGCCAATTAAACAATAAGAATCTAATTTTTTTAATCCATGAGAATTGGGCTCTGACCCACCTAAAGTTAAGACTATTTTTTGATACATAACTAGCTATATAAGGTAACATTAACTCTTAGGATTCAATGAAAAGGTACATGAACAGAGCTTAGCCATATACCTTGAATATGGTGTTGCTCACTAAAAGGGACATGTGATTTTCATTTCCTTCATCTCTTTATTTCTCAAGCAATGCACAAACCCTTCAAAAACTAAAACTAAAATAAATCAAAGATGAAACCTTTTCCTGAAATAAGATCTTACTATTATGACAGTGCTGTTTTCCGCCTTTCCTTCAAGACTGAATGAAATAGTATTTTTAATAGAAAAATTAATTACTCATTTAGCAAGGAAGGGAATGTAATTCAATTAAATTTCACAATGTCTAATTTTTGAAAGATACAAATTTTATATCTGTATAAATAAATATACTGCTGAAAAATAATTTTACTGATTTTTAGACAACTCTAGCTAAGTTAAGCTTTCAAGCCCCCTTCAAGCCCTAGCCTCCTCCTGTATTGTACTTTCCTTGCTTAGACAGAAGATATTCTTGCTGTGAGCTATGGAAAGTAACCAAGTAAGGAAAAAGGATAAATCCTTCAGAAATAAAAAGGAAGGAGAGAAACTGGTTAGAGTCATTCTTTAACACTCGGCGTTGGACAAAAAAGGGAGTTGCCAGGAGTGTTTTCATATATTTCTGTTGTGTTTGGGAAAGTCTTTAATTCTTAATATTTAGAGTGATTTTCTTTCACAACACAACACGGTCAAATTTTATTCTCTGACCTTGTTCCATATAAATACTAATAGTTAAAGTAAAGGTGGTTTTATTTTTACTGAATCATTTGTCCATTAATTCATTTTTCAATGAGCACTGTTCTAGTTGCTGATGTTATAGCAGTAAAGCCTTCATGGAGTATTGTATTAGTTAAGGAAAAGAGATAACAGATAAATAGTTTTAAAACAAAGTGCATTTAACTCCCATATATGATAAAACTCTCAGTAATCTAGGAATAAAAGAGAGCTTCCTTAAGCTAATATAAAGTGTATACCAAATGGTATATGAAAGGATTCCCTTTGCGAACAGGTACCAATCTACTGAAAGATTTCCCTCAATGTCAGGAACAAGACATGAGTGTCACCATGACCACTTTAATAATGTCCTGGAGATTCAAGGTAGTGCAATAGGCAAGGAAAAGACACAAAATTCTTAAGACTTAGCAAGGAAGAAATAAAAATCTTACTATTCAAAAATTACATGATCGAACAGGTAGAAAAATCCAAAACAATCTACAAACTATTGAATTAATAACAATATAGCAAGGTTACTGGATACAAAACCAGAACACCAAACCAATTGTATTTTTACATACTATCAACAAAGAAATGGAAAATGAAATAAAAAACAAGATGCCCTTTACTGTTGCATCAAAACACCCCACCAAATGTTGAAGGACAGTGACTGTGAACTTGGTGACAAGTAGTGATTTTACAGCATCTTACTATGTTGATGGACAGTGACTGTAAACAGGGATGTGGGGGGGACTTGGTGAAGGGGGGAGCCTAGTAAACATAATGTCCTTCATGTAATTGTAGATTAATGATACCAAAATAAAAAAAATACACCCCACCAAAGAATAAATCTAAAAACAATAGTTTTATCAAGTGTGATTAAAGAGGACCTAAATATGTTCAAGGCTTGGAAGACTCAATATTTAGGATGACAATCCTCCCCATTAATTAACAGATTTAATGTAATCTCAATAAAAATTTGAGCAAGTTTCTCTGTAGATATTGGTAAGATGAATCTAATATTTATATGAAATGACAAAGGGCCAAGAATTGCCAATACAATCTTGAAGAACAACAAACTTGGACCTCTTACACTAAGAAATATTAATATTAATTATAAAATTATAGTAAATAAGATAGTATGACAGAGACAAATCAATCCAGTGAACAGTGGAGTCTGGAAACAGAGCACACACACATATGTGGTCATCTAATTTATGACAATGATGACACTGTGGTGCAGTGGGAAAAGGATGGTCATCTCAACACTTGATACTAATTATATTCCTTTATGGAAAAAAGAAGGTATCTTGATCCCACTTCTTACAATACACAAAAATCAATTCCAAATTGATCTCAGATTTATACATTTTAAGAATATAGGAACATATTTTCATGAACTTGTGGTATGCAAAGATATCTTTTAAAAATCACAGAAATTTGACATTAAGGAAAAAAAAGATACCTGGGCTACATTAAAACTAAATATTTTTGTTAATCAAAAAACATCATTAGGGGTATGAAAGGAGAACCCCACAGATAAAGGGCATTAAGAATATATAAAGAATTTCTACAAATCAATAAGTAAAGCAGACAACCCAAAAGAAAAATTGAAAAGTTTTTCACAAAAGAGGATATACAAATGGCCAATCTATATATGAAAGAAGCTCAATTTCACTGCTCATCAGAGAAATGTACATTAAAACCATAATATATCTCTATATGCTCACCAGACAGGCTAATATTAAAGACAAGCAATATCAAATATCAGTGAGAATGCAGTGTAACAGGAACACTCATATGCTGTTGGGAATGAAAATTGGTATAACCACTTTGAAAACTGGCTTTTTCTACTAAATATGATCATAAGTGTGCCACATAATTACCAATTCTATTTCTGGTTGATAACCAACAGAAAGAATAGTGTATTTTCTGAAAGACAGATATAAAAATGTTCTAAACATTAATATTCAAAAAAAGGCAAAGACTGGAAACAACCCAACCACCTGCATTGGAAAGGACTGGAATAAAGATATTTTGGTATATTTAAGTAATAGAATACTATAAAACAATGAAATTGATAAGAATTATAATTATACCCAATAATACCTGAGAAACCAAAATAATATTGAACAAAACAAGCTGGCTATAGAAAAGTCCATACTATATGATTCCTTTTACATACATCTCAAAACCAAGCAAATTAATTATGATATTAGAAGTGAAGATAGTGGTTTTCTTTGAAGAAAGCTCGTGACTAAGGAAGTACAAGGTTGGGGGCGAGATTCTGGTAGCATTCTCTCTCTTTATCTGCATGCTGGTCACAATGCTGTGTATGCTTTGTCAAAATTCATCGAGCATTATACTTATTACTAATGCATTTTCATATATGTGAATTATAGTTTAGTAGAAAAGGAAGGCTATTAGATAATAATATGGTGAATAAACTTTAAAACCATTAACATTTTGTAAGGTTAAAAAATAATATGTTAAATGGAATTGAATAATATGAAGAAAAAGTAGGGGAGAGACACAGGGAATGTAGGAAGGTGTGAAGAGGAGGGGTCACAATTTTAAACAGAGCAGTTGAAGAGGCCTTAATGAATACAGTTCATCTCCTTTTGCTTACCTGTATGGTAAAATTTCCCTGAAAATCCCAGGTTGAATGTAAAATTTGTGATTTGTGCACGCAAAAGATTCTGAGTATCGAGTAGTGCCTGAAATACATAATTGAAAGAAAATGTATCAGGTAGAGAAGGCGTTGAGAAGTTTTAGAAGACATCTCCCTTTTACATTCAAATGACAAAACTACTCCTTTATACACGAGAGAATTAAATGGAAAGTAGGTTCTTTACCACTTTACAGCTAGAGAGATGCTTTCAAGATTGTATGAACACATACATATGTTTATTCTTTAGCTTGCAATAAATCAGCAAAACATGCCAGTTAGAAAAAGAGAGTTAAATGAGTTTATTCTGAATATATCAAAGGAACTAGCATCTACATAAAATATATGTCTTTTTACCCCTCAGAACATAGATCACCACTTGAGTGATCAAAAGAAGTCCTTCAAAAGAAGGACACTCTCTTTAAGTGAACCTATGGAAGAACATATATTGAAAGAAACATTGTTAATTTTCTAGTATGTCTTTGGTATTAAAAAGGTAAGAATTTTCAATTTTTAAGTCTTAGATTCCTAAAAGATAGTGATTATTCTTCAAAAAGCTAAACCTCTAATTTGGCCTTTTGTTAAAGGCCAGACAAACAAAACCTCTACTTCTGACACAAAGCTATTTTGAATAGTTTTAATTGTTATACTATGAAGTATTTACCATGCTGTGATTATTTAGACTTCTTTTCCTTCACGTTCTTATTTGAATTCCTATTCTTATAACCCTTCTCTCCTCCCACTCCTGCGACACAGACCATTGTAGTTGAGGACCAACCTCAAGTAGGCAGAAAGTAATACTAAATGGTAGATTTGCAAAGGACCTTAGTTCACACTTCTTTGACACATGAGGAAACTGAGGAGAAATGACGTGCTCATTTTCACAGAAACATCAGTGGTAGATCCTAGATGAAGACTATAGATCCAAATTAGGTGCTCTTTTTACTCAATCACACCAAAATTCATTCTACTCCTTCCCACAGTATGGCTGGACCCACAACAAAATCTTCATCCCTTAAGAGTATACATGACACCTGCAGGCCCCGTCCCATCCTGTTCATGGTCTCCAAATCTTTCTCGGGGGATAAACAGATAATTTTACTCAGAGACTATCCATGATTGTATGTATGCCTCATCTGCGGAGCAAGTGATCCTCCCTGTTGTGTAAAAGCAGAGGAAGAGAACTTCTGAATCTCAAATTTCAATTCATCTGACAAACAGTAAGTTTTTGAAAATTAGGCATCTAAGTCTTTCCGTCACTGCTCTGTTTACATGTACAACTTCCTTTGCGCAACAGAACCATGTGGCATATGGGTCCTGAGGGCTCTCAAAGATGGAAGACAGGCTTGTTTGTGGATTTCCACACCTAACTGTAGAAGCAAAAGGGTTAACTAATGGCATGTCATTGAGGACAGTTAGATTCTGTCCCCACATGGGCTTGGGCAGAGGAAGGAGAATTTGTTCAGTCCGGCAGCTATAAAGAGATGAGTGGGATACAGGCTCCTGGTGTGTGGAAGTGTGGGGAGGGGTGCCGCTGACATGGAAGGTGTGAACCCTTCTCTTTCTGTCCTTATGAAAGGAACATAGGTAGGGAACTGGAAGTATTGTTTGACATGTCAGCTCTGGGACTTGCAGTGTAGTCACTACAAGTGACTTGGAAGATGGTCTCAGCTGGAACTCTGAATCTGCCCCTATTCAGCACTGGGCATGTTATTAAGCTTTCCAAGCTTCAGACTGTTTGTAAAGTAAGGGAACTAATTACCTCAAAGCGCTGTTGTGAGGAAGAGATAACTCATTTATGCTCTTGGTATAGAAACTGTCATAAAGCATGTTTCCAACAATTACCAGGTATTGTATACTCCTTTATTTTTGCTGCTGATACTATTGCTACTACTACTGTTATTGCTATTGTGAGTGATGTCAGACAACTCACAGAACCTCTCTCAGCTTTTCCCTTCATTTGTTAAATTGGAGACAATTATCTAACTCATAGAATTTTTATAAGGATTATAAATGAGATAATATGTAGGAGTGCTTGATAAACTTTCAAAAAATGGCATAAAACATTAGGTGCTATTTTAATCATCAGCAACATATACAATTATATATACATACATGTATTATTGCTGATAATCATATACATATTTATATCTATATAATTTATTCCTTAAGGTTTTTGCTTTCTCATTTTATCTATCTTCACTCTCCTCCAACACTTCCATCTCCTTTTATTTTTAATTGAAATATAGTTGATATATAAACTTATATTAGTTGCAAGTATACAACACAGTGGTTCAACAGTTACACACATTATTAAATCCTCACCCAAACTAGTGGTGATATCTGTCAACATAGAAAGATGTTACAGAATCATTCGCTATATTCTTCATGCTGTGCTACCATCCCTGTGACCAACTTATACTATAATTAAGAATTTTTGTGTCCTTCATCTCCTTCCCCCTCTCTACCTAGCAACCCCAAACCCTCCCTCATGGTAATCACTAGTCAATTCTCAGTGTCTATGAGACTACCACTCTTTCATTCATTTTGTTTTATTTGTAGATTCCACATAAGTGAAATCATATATTTGTCTTTCTCCACCTGGCTTATTTCACTTAACATAATACCCTCAAGGTCCATCCATGTTGTTGCAAATGGCAAGATTTCTTTTTTTTTTTAAATAACTGAATAATATTCCCTTGTGTATAGGATGGATAACCCTATCCTTGGATGGTACCCCTTTAACGGAATGGATATCTTCTTTGTCCATTCATCTATTGACAGATATTTTGGTTTATCCATATCTTGGTTAGTGTAAATAAATAATGTGACAAGAAACACAGGGGAGCATATATCTTTTTGATCAGATATTTTGTTTTCTTTGGGTAAATTCCTAGAAGTCAAATTCCTGGTTATGGTATTTCTATTTTTAGTTTTTTGAGGAACCACCATACTGCTTTACACAGTGGCTATACCAATTTACATTTCCACCAACAGTGTAGGAGGGTTCCCTTTTCTTCACATCCTTGCCAACACTTTTTATTTCTTGTTATTTCTAGGGGCCATTCTAACTGGTGTGAGGTGATGCCTCACTGAGGTTTTGATTTGCATTTCCCTGATGATTAGCAATGTGGAGTATCTTTTCATGTGTATTTCTTCTTTGGAAAAATGTCTGCTCAGGTTCTCTGCCAATTTTTTAAGTGGGTTATTTGTTTCTTGGTGTTGAAGCATATGAGTTCTTTATATACTTTGGATGATAATCCTTATCAAATAAATCATTTACGAGTACACTTTGCAATTCTGTAAGGTACCTTTTTGTTCTGCTGATGTTGTCCTTTGCTGTACAGAGGCTTTTTAGTTTGATGTAGTTCTACTTGTTCATTTTTTATATTTTTTTCCTTGCCCAGGGAGATGTGTCCAGGAAAAAACTGCTAATGCTTATGTTCACAGATCCCTGCCTATGTTTTCTTTTAAGGTCTTTATAGATTCCTGTCTTACATTCAGGTCTTTGATCCATTTTGAGTTTACTTTTCTGTAAGGGGTAAGACAGTAATCCAGTTCCATTCTCTTGCATGTAGCTGTCCAGTTTTTCCACCAGTTACTGAAGAGACTGTCTTTTCCCCATTGTATATTCATGCATCCTTTATCACATATTAATTGAACATATATGAATGGTCATATATGCATAGGTTTGTATCTGGGCACTCTATTCTGTTCTATTGATCTATGGGTCTGTTCTTGTGCCAGTACCATACTGTTTTGGTTATCATAGCTTTGTAGTATAGCTTAAAGCCAGGGAGCCTAATTCCCCCAGCTTTGTTATTTCTTCTCAGGATTCTTTTGGCTGTTCAGAGTCTTTTGTGGTTCCATATGTATTTTAAAACTATTTGTTCTAGTTCCTAAAGAATGCTGTTGATAAGGGTTGCATTGAATCTGTAGATGGCTTTAGGCAGGATGGCCATTTTGACAATATTAATTCTTCATATCCATGAACATGGGTTCCATTTGATGTCTTCTTTAATTTCTCTCATGAGTGTCTTAAAGTTTTCAGGGTAAAGGTCTTTCCCCTCCTTGATTAGGTTTATTCTTATATATTTTATTCTTTTTGATGCAGTTGTAAATTTGATGGAATTGTTTGTCTGATTTCCCCTTTTGTTAGTTCATTGTAAACATATAGTAATGCAACAAGATCTGTGTATTAAATTTTGTATCTTGCAACTTTGCAGAAACCAGTTATTAGTTCTAGTTTTTTGGTAAAGTATTTAGGGTTTTCTACATATAATATCATGTCATCTGCAAATAGTGACAGTTTAACTTCTTCCTTACCATTTGGGTGCCTTTTATCTTTTCATCTTGTCTAAGTGATGTGCTTAGGACCCCCAGTACTATTT